ATCGCTAAAAAAAATTAAACGTTCTTCTAAAAATTACAAATTTTGGTATTTTTATTTTAGGATAAAATGAGGTTGCTCAAACACTAACTAAAATTCATAGAAGTCATGAATAAATAATTCACTGACATAATTAAAATATTCGCTTATTAATTTGACTCGTGGCGACATTTGTGCCGGCATATTGCGAAAATAATATAACGAAAAACTATGATTTTGACTTACTTTGCTTCTCTATCTTCATTGGTTGCTACGTTAATACGGTCGGAAGTACAAAAATAGATAAAGTTTTTTTCACACGACCTCTAAAGGATTAAATTAGTAACAGAAGCCGCACGCTTGTTAATGAATAATTAAGTTTAAGACCGCGTGAATAACAGTCATCATGGGAATTGATTACCAGAATGGTGGGAAGTTTCTAGCCGATTCAGCCAATCAGCTTTCCCTCCAAGTTTCAATTCCGTTTAGATTTCCCAAAAGACGGTTTTCAGCATTTGCTAACGAGCTGCCAAGTTGCAAAAGATGTCAAATTTGTATACTGCATCATCTTTTACCTTGATTCGAAGTGACTCATTTCACACGAGCTGAGATTTATTTTGAATTATTTTATAAACCAATTGTTAAGTTTAAAATACATATATTTTCCTAGAAGGGCATTTGAAATTCGGACCTGCTTCCGAAAGAAAAATTACATCTTCGACTTACGAAATAACGACGAAAATAAAGTATAAAGTATTAAATATCAATTGTGTGATAAAATATTGGCCGTCGTGTGATAACAGATTAAATTTTCTGCTTAGAACGTTTTGGATGCCTGCAGGAAGATTTCTGTAGGTGACAAGGCAATTACTTTGCCACTTAGGGCACTGCAAGGGTGGCTCTTTTCAACCTAACCCTTCCCTGTGGGTCAGTGGCTAGATTGCTAAAAATCAAAAAGCATTAAGGACTGATACTATTGAATATTATTATTCATTGACTGAAGGGTTCAAATAAAATTATTCTAAACGTGAAATTCCTTAACATTCAGGGTCGAATAGTTTAAAGCGTCCGTAGTTATGGAGTTCCTTTCACCGTATCGTTTTTGTTTCTTACATGTTCGTAATTATTTTTGATTTGTTTGTAATCATAACTTAAATATATTAGTGATATATATTTTTTTCAAGTAAGTATTCATGTATAATTTTGAGTTAAGTTTGTTTCTATATTTTTTATATAAATACAAAATACGATTGCTAAAATTGCCACGAACTAAGATTTTTAAAAAACGTGAAAAAAATTTCAACCCCAAATTTACAAGGCTATCCCTAGTTCGGTCAATACTTGTTGTAATGAAAAAGACCAAGAATAAAACTATATGAATATCAAATTCCCAAAAACGCACGAAATCAAACCAACTATAAATTACTAATGTACTTACGTAAACCAAATATAAAACAAAAACAGTTAAAAACAGGTAAAAAACAAAAATAGAATATATTGCGTGTGTAAAAGCTATGCAAAATGTAGACAGAATATGATTCAAAGTTGATTGATATGAATTCAAAATTGAAATTAAATAAGCAAGAAAAGAAAGTATTAAAACTATATGCTCTCCAACTTCTTCATCCAATCACCAATTTATTTATTTAACTGATATTAATTTAATTGTTCCTGGCACTGAAAAAAAAATAGGAACAACTTACTCAAATAACGTCAATTATTTGGACGCTACTTGGAGCGTCATTAAAGCTCAGCCTGGTGCAAACTTTGGCCCACTTTTCCCATTAGCAGAATTATCCCTAGTTAGGTCAATACTTTTTTTAATGAAAAACGACTAAGAATAAAACTTTATGAATATCAAGTTCCCAAAAACTTACGAAATCAAACAAAATATAAATTACTAATGTACTTACGTAAACCAAATATAAAACAAAAACAGTTAAGAACAAGTAAAAAACAAAAATAGAATATATTGCGTGTGCAAAAGCTATGCAAAATGTAGACAGAAAATGATTCAAAGTTGATTGATATGAATTCAAAATTGAAATTAAATAAGCAAGAAAAGAAAGTATTAAAACAAGTTAAAGGTTAGAAGGTTCAAAGAAAGAAAACTGAAACCTTATAAGATAGCTAAGGTTTGTGTTTTTACATATACATATATTCAGTCCAACTTCAAAATTTCAAATACGACAACCTGACACACCATTTTAAAGTATTTTTACGCTGGAAACAATGGTGCATCGGATTTTAAATTGGCCAAAAAAATGACAGAGATATGGCAAACAATTTGAAAAACAAATTTCGTTTATTTCGTTGTTAATTCCAATAATTTTCTTCTTCACAAAATTAAGTATTAATGGCCCTTATCGTTCATATTCAATTAATTAATTGCTTTTATCGTTGTTATTTGTCAACCTCGTATTAATTTAATGCAAATGTTAATTCCGGACACGTATGAACATTCTGTATTCCATTCAAAATTAAATAAAGAGCACATTTTTCGGATCAACTGCGAGTTGATATGTACGACTGTTTTATGATAGTCGTGGTATTGCGCGTCGTGCAGTCGAGTTGTACTCCCAAAAATTTCCTGATCGCCCCGAAATTCACCACAAAACTTGTTTTGCTGCCCAATATGAGGAGATACGGATCAGTTGCTGTTTCATCACCAAGAAACCGGAAGCGTAATTTTGACGAGGAGCGAAATATTTTACTGTATGTTCGCAAAAATCCGAATTCCTCCCTTCGAAATGTTACGAGGTTTTAGGTTTTTCAGAAAATAAAATTAGAGCTATACTCTGGACTTACAATTTTAAGCCGTATCGCTCTCATCTGGTCCAGGGCTTTTGGACTCTGATTATGATAGGTATCAAATCGGACTGATGAATCCAAGTTCACCTCTAGTGTCATACTGAACCGTTGGAATTTTCGAACGTGGGCAGAGGAAAATCCTAGAATTTCATACGCTTGTCATCATCAGGTGGTTTACAGTACCAACGTTTGATGTGGACTTATCGGAAATAAATTAACTGGGCCTTATTTCTTCGCAAATAATTGAAATGACGCTTAGTTCCTCAATTTTTACATGGAGGTTTTACCAACAGTATTAGATGGATGTCCCTCTGCAACAACGACAAATATGATTCTCCAACTAGGTTGATGCCCCGCACACAATTCTTTGCATGTGAGATGTTATTTGGATCGTCACTTCCGGAATAGGTGGATAGGACTTCTGGCCGATCTGTTGGCCTCCTCGGACACCCGATTTTACTCCACTTGACCAACCATTTAAGAAACAGTGTCTACGCCAATCATAACCCAGCAACCTAAGTTGAACAACTGCGGCAAAGGATAGAAAATGCTTGTCAATCCATCTGACTCTCCCGTCTGAGCACTGGTGTAGAATGGTTAAAAAGAGCAAAGCTTTGCATCTTTACGCAAGGCAGGCAGTTCGAACATGAAATATGATTAATAAATAGATAAATAGCAAACCAAATAACTGTATTTTTCTTCAACTGTTATGCCATTTTTTAACAAACGTAAAATCCAATTGCATTGTTTTCAGAGTAAAAAAATCGTTTAAAATGATGTGTTCCGATATATAGGATCATATTCCCTGTATATTTTAACTAGCCTAAACTTAAACATTGTTTTTTGATAGCTTGGATATATAATTTAGCTTAAATTTAATTATAATTGTGCTTGGTCAGTGTTATTACCTCGTCAGTTGTATAATAAAATTGTCAGAAAAGGTGTGTCTGAAATGTTGTTTTTTATAAAAGATAATAAGGCGTGCTGCCTAGTATTTCAGAAATTCTAGAAAGTGCCTATGTTTAAAATTTGGAAGTACAAAAATCAATTAGATCAAAATTCGTTGTAGTTGAATATTCAAAAAGGTTTTTTGCTTCGTTAGAATTCCTCTGAACCCAACATATTGGCCAATTTTCCCGTAAACTTTATCATTGATTACAATAGTTTTTATCACATCTGGATATATCAATTTTTTTATTTCTCTTCTGATCAAAGCCAAGTTCAATTAGTCCTTAATCCTGTCATGCTCATTGAATCAAAATATTCTTGCATAATAATTACAGCTGCAGACAAGAAAAAATTTGGTAACATAATTACAAAAAGTTAACTCTCATTTCACTAAATACTACAGAAAAAATCGACAAAGTTGTAGTCAATTTTTTAAGAAATTATTACAGCATGCAGCATGGGCGTCAACCTCCCAACAATCACCTAGAAATAATCAACTAAGCAACACATTCATATCTCGCAAGTGTATAGAATTACTTTGCTCATCGATAGCCAGTTTTTTTTCAACAATCTCGCCAACGGGTTCATATAAATTATGTGATTACAACAGCGTAAAGAAAAGTGGGAAGGTATTATTTCCCATTCTTTCCCGTAGGCATTATCATATTCAACAGTTTTCAGTAAAATTTATTTATTATATTTATATATACAAAAGTATTTTTGTTAGATGTTCGTTAGTGGTTAAGAATGAGGAAACATTACCTGAAATAGTGCAGAATTTTCTTTAAATTTAACAGATTTTTAATAAACTTTTATTTCTTTGTCATTTAGATCTTAGAAATGATAGAAATCCCTTTACAAGATGTAAACTTGACATTTATCAAAATGGTTGAAAAAAATGTATTCGTATTATTGACATCTACGGAACAATTATCTTGGTTTTTCCTTTACAGTTATAGTTATTTGTTAAGGTTTTTTGTTCTTTAAAAGACAATAATTTTCGACAAATCGGGCTTAACGCCAAACAACTTGTGTTACGGACTACGCGCCTAACCACTTTACAATTAATTTTCTATGACATTATTAATTCCATTTATGTAACGTAACAAAGATTCCATGGGTTATGAAAATTAAATAAAGTATATTTTACTTGGTTATCATACGTTTTAAAAAATGCTCTTTTTTTATTTACACATTTTAAAACATATTTAGTTTCCATAGAAACAACATTCTCTAGAACTATTTTTTCATGTTCGAAATAGTTTCTTCTTCTTAATTTCGTACAGTTATTAGTTAATAACGAACAATCTGGCAGTAGAAGTAAATCTTTAAAATTTGTTCTATCATGAGCGCCAGGACTATAGATGTGAGTAAAAAAATGTATTTATAATTTGTAAAATGTTGGCTTAGTTTTATACATCTAAATGTACTAAATTAAACATTAATTTTTGTGTGAATTTGCTAAAATTCCAGGATAAAAAATGTTTTTCTTTTAAATACGTAAATTGAGTCATTGAATATATCGTTGGAAATATATCTATTCATGATGAACCTTTTATTTTTTATATTATAAATATTTTTCTTAGTGATATCGGTATTTCAAAATATAAAAAAGGTTTACGGTGTAATTTCTCTAATTTTGTTTAGTAAAAAGTAACTAATTTGTAAAAAAATCAACTAATTTAAATCTATGTAATACACAACATTTTTAATTTGTTCTAGCTTATATCAAATACTAACGTAAATGATTATTCTAGGCTAATCTTTCACCGCCCCGCGAAAAAAGGATATCTGTGTGGTCTTTTCAAAAGTCGGCAATTTCGGTGAAGAGTAGTAAGGCTATGGACATAAGTATATGCAAGACAGTTTTTAAATGTTATATTTTATTTGTCATTCAAATTATCGGGCTTTCTGTCTTCTTCTTGATGATCACAACGTACTTAAACTTAAAATTATTGTTGAAACAGAACTCTTGGGTCAGTTTACTGTGTATGCTTATCTATGCCATACTCTTCATAATAAGACTCGTTTGGAAAGACGTTGTCGTTTTGAACGTAATTTTAGTATGCGTCATGAGCACATTAGGAACATGGACCATCGGAGTGATTGCTTCGACGTTCTCCTTAACAACGGTCTCGTGCGCCTTTGTGGTTGCCGTCATATCCATAACGATCATGTCATTCATCGCAATCACTTATAGATACGTGATACCGCAGAAGTTAGTTATTGGCATAGTTATCGCCGCCTTGGCGTTGATATCTGGAATAGTGACCATGGTCGTTCTACACCTGGCCGTGACAATTGCCTTAATATTATTCTCAAGCTTAACGGCCTTCTTGTTGTATGTGCTCTTCGGCTACGACTTACTTTACCAACTTGCTTGCTTGAACGACGATTACATTTCCATCGACATGGAACTTTACACTATATTTCTCATAGCCCTGTACTTCTCTTTTCTCACTTCCCATGAAGGCTTCAAAAAATATTATTAGCAAGAGCTCCAGAAGAGGGAAATGGCCCTAAATCAAGTTAATAAAACTTCAAGGTATAAGACAAGTGAAAACGTTAAACTGTGTTGTTAATCAATAAATGTATCAAATTGAGTGTGTATTTATCATTATTAATACGTACGATTAATTCTCGACCATGGACTAATCAGAATAGCTCAGATTGCACATAAAATAATTTCTATACATACAGATTACCGCCGCTAAAATAAAAACACGTTAAACTATTTGGTATCATATGATTTTAAAAAATAACACTTTTATATTTAAAAATAATTCAATAATGGAACGAGCCATTAACTTCGATGAAATAGGTTATTAAATCCTAGTACTTTGTAAACTGAATAAAACTTTGTTAACTGTGAAGTTAAATTCACTAGTTTCGTGGTCCGCTTGACCAATTAATATTTTACAATTAATTAAGGTTTTCAGTTGAGATAAAAAAGTCAATGGCACGAGCGGGATTCGAACCCACGATCTTCGGCTTGATACGCCGCTGCTCTACCACTTGAGCTATCGTGACCTCGATCCACTCGAATTCCGCTCGTGCCATTGACTTTTTTATCTCAACTGAAAACCTTAATTAATCGTAAGATATTAATTTGTCAAGCGGAACACGAAACTAGTGAATTTAATAAGTTTAAAATGAAGTATACCTTCACTAAAGCTCTCCGTGTCCATTTCATTTGTCGCTGAGAATCAAATAGATTACACGACATTTGAAAAGTGGCAAAAAGAAGGGAAAATTCAAAAGGTGTGGTTGAGATGGAAGTTGGTGTTCGAGTGAATCGAGGTCACGATAGCTCAAGTGGTAGAGCAGCGGCGTATCAAGCCGAAGATCGTGGGTTCGAATCCCGCTCGTACCATTGACTTTTTTATCTGAACTGAAAACCTTAATTAATTGTCAGTTAAACGTTTTACGTAAATATGTCATCAGTTACGAGACCTTTTAAAGTACAAACAAAACAAAATACATTTAAAATGAATTATCAAATCCGGGGTTTGAATTATATTAGCTGTCTTTCTAAATATCATTTGCCATGCAAACATTACAAAGCAAATAAGCTTCACTCAAAATCATACATCGTAATGCAATTAAATGCTAGGAAGTTGGAATATTCGCGGTAAAAGATAAAATTCAAATAATAGTCTTCTGAGATTTGGACCAAAGCCCGCGCATGTGCCCGTCGTACAGAGAAAGGTTGCTCGATGTGTCCCAGATAATAGAGGCGTGAGGCGTGTCTCGCCTTGGCTCTATTTAGAGAGCGTGTAGTCATGCCGCCTGATTTAAGAATGGTTCTCGAACACGGTAGCGAGTTTCAGGGTCCCCTGTTCCGCTTTTTAGTGGAATTGGCAATTTTTTTAATTGTAAGTAGCCGTCAAGATGTGTTTTGTATGAGTGAGTGTATTTATTAGAGTGAATGGTAAGGGGCTGATGGTGGAATAGCATCCATATGACCCCTCGAGCTGTGACTTGGGTCGCTGGCGGAATATTTCTAAAAGTACCCCATTGACTCCAGTTAAATTGTTTTGTTATTGTGTGCAGGTTGATGAAGGAATATTCAGTACTCCATCCACCAAATAGAATGAATACAATGTATATAGGTCTGAATGTATTTATTTGTATGAATGCTTATGGAATGTGTGTTGCAATATTTGGCATGCGTTCCGGGCTGGAATGACCAAGCTGTCGGATGCCCCTGTAAAAAAAAAAAAAAAAAAATCGTCTGAGAGGAGTCGGTGGGATCGTTGTCATGATACATCAAGTTGTTAGAGCACCGGCGTATTGGGCCGAAGGTGGTGGGTGCTCGCCACAGTCTTATATCTATTTAGGAAAATGTTTAGAAAAACTACAGTTTTACAAATATTTCTTCCAAACCGAAATTCTCAAAATAATATAACTGGCGTATAATTTGTTTCCTGCAACTGTCCGTTAGTGTCATCACGTCAAATTACCACCTGTTACAATGAACTTGAGTCATTATTGTTCTCAAACCTTGCTATAGGTAGGATAAGCTTTCTTTCGAGTTTGGAAGCCAGGCATGACGAAGTTAATACTCAAATACTTATATTTGCTACGCCACCGGTTCAGGGTTCTTATCCCGGTATTTTATCTGAGATTTACCTTGAGAATGTAAAGTGGTTCTGACCCCTCGTCTGCTATTAGCCGGTTTTTTCAAGTCATTGATAACAATTCGCCCTGCCCCACCCAAAACTCGTGCTAGTTCGTCTCAGCACAGTGTATTGGTCCCTTACTATATGGACTGTAAAAAGATGACATTCCTTCTCAAACATAAAGGACCATCTTTAAAGGAAGTTTTACCTTCGCAGATGATACGGCCATTCTTTACCGTAAAACCAATCTCGTTCATTAGTCTCAAAACATGCACCATCACTCACACTGTTGGAATATTGGTGCAGGAATGAACGTTAAGATTAAATACGGAAAAGACTATCCACATAAACTTTACCCTTCGTAGAAAATGTAGTCCTACTTATATTAGTAACGTTCCGCTTCAACCAGCAGACAACAAGCGTTACCTAGGGATGTACTAAGACAAATAACTTATGGGGAATCTACTCTCAAGCCTTAAACGAAAAGAAAAAACCCTCAAAACCTTTCATAACTTCTTGACAAACGATCCAACTTGTCATCGCCCAACAAAAATTCCTCACTATATTAAAACCAATACTGACATAACTACTAGAATCCTGCGGGTTTGATTAAACGCTCAAACACGATCCATCTTTAGACTTCTTGATATAAAACTGCTTTGGAAAAATACTTGATGATCTATTTTTGTATCAAGTGAAGCCATAAGTAAAAATGTCAATATTCCGTTTGGTCCATGAACTAAATCGATCGTGTTACCTTAAATTTCCCAAAAAATTCACCCAATTTAAAAATTTTACAATTCAATTAATTACCGCCTGTCCATTAGTACACTACCAACGTGTAGTTTCTCTACTCTTGTAACATTATTTTGTTTGCCATAGCGAACTGTTAACTTTATAAGCAAAAGTTTAGAATTATCTAACAAAAATACATTAATAATTTTAAGATTTTTGCAAACAGCTTCTGAAGTATTGGGTCAAGAGGACGAATTTTCTAGCTTAAACCAGTTTTAAAAAAGGATTAATATCCGTCCTAGGTTCATGTAATATCATTTCCTTTCATTTATTCGGCCTTTATTCGCCTCATGATCAAACCAAGTTTCATGTTATTTCGTTTAGAAAAAAAACCGTTTTGCTTGGATGTAAAGCCTAGCTGAGGTTTTCGATACTGGGTGAACTACTAAACATTCCTCCTTCTACTAGTTTTCCAATTAATTGTGTTCATTTCCTGTTACCTTCGTTAACGTGAAACAGTGATATATTTCAGTTTTGTACGTTCCACTATTCAAATATTCCTAGCACTACGTACATTCCTAAATTTCATATGCCTCCAAACAATAAGTCTTTCCACATACTGCCTTCTTTCAGTGATCTCAAAATTCACTAAACATACCTTTTCAAATTTTACTTCCCTGAGCAGTGTGTTAGTTTTTATATTTCTGCATTTCGACATCTTACTAATTATCCCCTTCTGCTCAAAAGCTGCTTATACACATATACGTTTGAAAATATTCCCTCCTATGGATTGATAATGACTGAACAACAACAAACAAAAAAGAAAATATGAACCTTTTAAAAAGTTTCATATTTTTCCTAGGTTAACCTGGTTAATTCGTATTCATCCATTTCGCCTTCTGTTTTCATAAATTTTTTTATCAAGGAAAGTTGATGTGTGAACACAATTTACTTCTCTAGTCCTCTTTATACAACTTTATTGCTTGGGTGTTATCCTAAACTTGTACAAGGATTTCAAATGTGTCTGGCACAACTCATCCTCTACGAACATCTATTACGTTATCTTATAATACGAATGTCCAAGTCAGCGCCTCACCAGAGAACATTCTGGATCCATCGTGTATACAATTTACACAGCTGATTTACATCTCAATACCAACCTTACGTGGATGCACAAAGTCATCTTGAACTTATCAAACGATGACTCAAAAACTAAATTCCCTAAAAATAATCGTTCAAATGCTTATTTACATTATAAAAAGAGCATATCTACTTTTCATTGTATTTCAAGAAAAAAAGAGCTACTTATATTCTCTGAAGATAGGTTTTTACGGCAATAAAGAGTTAACAGGAGACCGGAATTCAAATACAAACACTCATTGGTATGCTTTGACAACCAGATCGATTTCAAAGATTAACATATATTTTAGCTTCGACCACATTGGGCAGTATGTCTGTGAGATTACGCCAAGCTATGCAACATCCCCCATATCCCATCCTTCAAATCAAAAGATCTCGGACATATTGTCAATTCTTCATTATCCACAATGAGCATAACATTCCACTTGTAACGAACTGATCCTTGCTCTCGTTTTTTTTATGTTGCAACAAACCTCTCAAGCTCCTTTAAGCTTTAAAATCCTGAGAATCCTCCCGTCGCCTTTAACGACGATGTGAATCCCAACAAGAGACTTAATATAAAAGACATAAAAATAGAAATATTGCAATCCATGATGATGACAACCCTCTTTCTTTGTTCTACCAATTTATTTAAAAATTTCCTTCTTTAATTTTAATAATAACGTTTATTGCCAGAAAATACATAATATATTTTAAACAATGCATGTTTTTTTTATTGGCTTAAATACTAAAAGACGTAATTTGAAAATTTTATTTTAAAAATATTTTCTACTTTGACAGTAGTTGGTCGTATGTATATGTACAATCACGAAAATATATATTAATCTATCTTTGGAAATGTGAATGGGGGTCAGAAAATTCAAAGGACAATCGAACCAATGACCTCCCTGGGTCAAATTGACAGGCACTCGACTATTCCTCTCCACCATATGCATCACCAATTAATATATTAATATAATTAACGATTTAATGCCATTTGATGTTGTTCAGATATAATCTTAATTTTTTCATATATTTTTAATCACATATACATTGTATTGATCAAATTAAGAAAGATAGTAATAATTAGTTCCTCTTTTATTCTGAGACACGAGAAATTACAAAGATGTTAAATCATTAAAGGAAAAAAAATTATGATTAA